TAAAATTATTAGACTCTACTTCATTTGTAAATTTTATATTAGGGTGCGTTGCATGCAAGTAATCCGGGAATACTATTACTTGGTTTGAATGATACTAATGTTACATATAGGAAATATAGACTGAAGATGAGTGTGGGTATACTCTAAACGTTTGTGTTGAGCAATATATATATGTATATACATATATATATATATATGTGTGTGTGTGTGTGTTTTTGTGTGTGAGTGTTTTTGAGTGTGTGTGTGTGATATATATCTATACATATATATGTACATATATAAATATGTATGTGTTTGTGATATATATGTGTGTATGTGAGTTTTTGTATGCGTTTGTGTATGTATGTGTGTTTCTGCGTTTTTTTGTTTGTGTATACATACATACATATATGTGTGTGTATGTGTGCACACTGAGACAGAATGATACCCGTCCACAAATATACACAAACATACTAGTGCATGGTGTCTGCTTCGGGAGTAGGAAAGATTTGGTTCCAGATGCCCTTGAGTTTTTTTTTTTCCAGCAACAGGTAACATTTTCTCTGCCTTGGATGCTGCTTTGGAATTGAGGAAGTAAGGATGTGTCAAGAGAGAGAGGAAGAGGGAGGGAGGGTTGAGGAGGGAGATGAGGAGGAGGGAGAGAGGGAGGGGAAGAGGAGGGAGAGAGGGAGGAAGGAGGAGGGAGGAGGGAGAGGGGGAGGGAGGAGGGAGAGGGGGAGGGAGGAGGGAGAGAGGGACGGAGAAGAGACAGAGGGGAGGAGGAGGGAGAGAGGGAGAGGGAGAGTAATAGAGAGTGATTGATAGAGCGAGGAAGAGACAAGCTGATAAAACAACCCGAAAGTGAGAAAGAGAAAAAAAAAACAAAAAAACTAAACTAATGAAACCACATAAAAACAAAGATCTCGACAATTATTCGACAAAGAAAAAATACATCAACACTCTAGCCGACTTCACTCACCGCACCCACACAAAAAACTAAACACTGAAAGATGCAGTTGGTATTACTTTTCACAAATGAATAATCGAGTTTTAAATTTGAGGGTAACGAGGATGCCCTTGCAAGTTTTCTAAAGTATTTATCCTACATTATTACCATAAGCAGCAAGGTCTTCATGTAACGGCAGAAAATGGCCTTCTAAGTTTACATTGTTGTTATCATTTATTGGTAGCATTAGTGTGTTATAACCGTCATTAATATCGTAGATTTTTATCTAGGATATTATCATTACTATACTTATCATTATTATTAGAATTATTGTTAACATTCTAATTTTCATGATTATTACTATTTACTGTCATTAGTATTAGTATTATTGCTGCCATTATCATTATTACTATTATAATTATCATTATTATATTTATTATTATTATTATTATTATTATTATTGTTGTTGTTGTTGTCGTTGTTGTTGTTATTATTATTATTACTATTATTATTACCATAATCTTTATTAGTATTACTATTATTGTTTTATTGTCGTTATCAGTATTATTGCCATTATAACCATTATCTTCATTTTATTATCAAGAGCAGTACTATTATAATGTTCATGATTGCATTTGGTGCTTTTATTTTATTTTCATGATCATTACTATGATTTTCCACATACACATACACATACACACACACACACACACACACACACACACACACATATATATATATATATATATATATATAGAGAGAGAGAGAGAGAGAGAGAGAGAGAGAGAGAGAGAGAGAGAGAGAGAGAAAGACAGACAGACAGACAGAAAGAAAGAAAAAAAGACATACAGGAATGAAACGCCTCACCATATATATGCATACCAACAACCGTATAAACAAAGGTGCACAAATCGACGAGTAGTAAAACAAATCATATGATTGAGCAAAGCTGTTCTGACTAGTTAATGTCAATGAACCGGTTTAAACGTCACTAACCTTTTTGTTCCTAATAAATCGAACTCGCCATTTACGGGTAGAAAGTAGAAAAGTGTGGTTTTGTAGAAATGAATGCAAGAAAAGGAAAATGATTACCTATCTATCAGTTTTAGAAAAGTAGAACTTGTGTAAACGTAAGTATTAAGTGTCAGCTGGTTAGAATAACAAAATGACTTGAGATGAAATGAAAATGAAAAATTATAAAAGAAAGAAAAATAAACTTCACAAATCGGAGTGAAATAGAGTATGACGTAGGTTGCCAGATGTTTTTTTTTCTAGACTGGATGCACTATAGTATTCCACGAGTCCGATCACAATTATATGACTATATGTTGGTCATTATTAATGATATAGTTATGATTATTATTGCTGTTGCTTCAATTAATTTTCATTATCATTAAATAATGCCTATTATGGTAAGATCAAGGACTATATAAATATATACAAATATCCGTGTTCCACTTCTCCGTTATCTAACATTGAAGTGGAGCAAAAACCCAACAAAGAATCCTTTTTATCGTCCTTGTCAACAAGGTTTGGCACCAAGGTTTGGCACCACGAGGCCTATAAATCACTACTGCGTGAATGCCACCTCAGTCGACTTCTGTTCTTGCTGCAGTCAACAACCTCTCTCCTCCAAAATGGTAACACTTCATTGCTTGATATTAGCTTGATATTAGTCTTTGAATCTGATTGGTTCTTAACTGTGTGGTATTGCAGGTATGAATGACAATGTCTATATCTCTGTATCTCTTAACTATCTCTCCATCTATTTACTCATTTTTTATCTGCCTATCCATCTATATATTAATCTCACTACCTATACGTGTGTGTATATTGTGTGTGAGAGACAGCGTGAGAGACATAGTGTATGTTAGAGAGTGAGTGTGTAAATGTGAGGATAAGAGTGTGAGCGTACATGTGTTTGAGTGTTAATTAACTTCAAGTTTTTAGGTTTTAGGATCCCCTTTCTCTTTGTCCCTTTTGATTTCGAAGAGATAAGCTATCTTTAGATGCTGCAGTTGACGGTGATGATAAATTGGTTATGTCAATATTAATGATACAAAAGATGATACAAAACAGTTGTAATTGTGCTGATAATGACTATAAAAAAGAAAATTATAAAGGTCAATACCACCACGAGACATCTAACAGTTCTAGTTCACGTATAGGTATTATATAACATTAATTATCAGCTACGACTGTTACGAGTACTGTCGCATTCATATTATCATTATTATGGTTGTAATATCTTTCACCAAAAGCATCATGCAGAAAATATATATTTATACATTTCTATACAAATATACAGCCGTATGTAAACTATCTACATTCTAAAAACTGTAATTTAAATTCAATTAAGCAAGTAAATGAGACTGAAATAAAAATAATAATAATGTCCATATTGCAATGCAGGTTTCTCGCGTCGTGTTCGCCTGCTTGGTCGTAATTCTGCTGGCTGCCTGCGCCTTGGCCTTCCCTGACCCGAGCGGAGGATACGGAATCCGCACCTATGGATACGGACACGGCCACGGACACATCGGCCATGGATACGGACATGGCTATGGCGGCCACCGTGTGATTTTAACCCATGGCGGTCATGGCGGCGGATACGGATACAGGCCGGCGTACTGGTGAAAGGCCACATGGTACGGAATGCTGATTTCATTTATTCTAAACGTGTCTTGTATTATGAAGTCTAAATTATCAAAATATTATTTCTCCATAAAAAACACATTCCAAACTGTATATAAAAAAGTCACTTATGTGTATTATATTCTAAAGACTTTATATCACAGTATTTTGGTATTTATCCACGGTGCATTTCTTTCCTCTTCATATTCAAACACAGAGGAGAAAAATAAGGATAAGACTACTAAGAAAAACTTCCTAATACTTTTGTGGTCTTCTAGTTCCAGTTAGATGCTGTCCATGGACTCTGCCTCCAGTAACATGATAGGTAAAGAGATTTTAACAAAATAAGGAAACGAATTTTTTTTTCAGTTCTTTCTCTTGTTTAAAATCTTCTTCCAGTTTGTCTAGCTGGTCTCTATCTTGCTTACAATAAAGACTATTTTCTTTTAATAATGTGTTTGATTCTGTTCCCCTAATAAACTTTGAATTTCCAGCTGGTAAACTACGATTATATAGAAATAACACATTTTTTTCTGTAATTAAGAAAGCCTTATGTATAGTGCGTGTACAGAGTGAATGTAAAATGAGCAAGAAATCATTAAATATTAATGTCGGTCCATCTAAGTCCTTTTCTTGACCCATTTCTGCCATTCATACAGATTTTCGACATTTGTCATCAGTGGAGACTTTTGTTTTATATAAGAAAAGGAGGTTAGTGGTGTGCCTGGATGAGTGGCACTGCTAACCGCTGAATGGTGGTTCGCCTATTCATTTCAAGCTATTGGGTTGCTTGAGTAAAGTGTTAGGATACATACACATAGAAATGCACATACCCACACATGCATACACGCACACATATATTGTTCACATGAAATTGTGTTGCGGATGCAAGTATGCTTTAGAAGCTACTTTTTTCCATTTTATTAGGAATACAGAATGTAAATAATATGATTTCAAATTTTGATTCACTAAAAGGATTTATTTTGTAGAATGCATTTTTATTTTGATGCCTTTATGTTGTCATTTGGTGATGTCAAAGTGTTAGTGTATAGTAGTATTATGTGCGGAGGAGAGGAGCATACATGTGTTTACATTAGACTATTAGCAGGACAGGAAGTATATGACGCTTTAAAAAGCAAATTTGAATTATAGTTTAGTGCTCAAAAGTGCTGTCATCACGTGAATTCGTAAAAAAATGAAAGATATAAAGTTAGATATAGATTTCAGTCCGAACGAGTGGAGAAGGAACTGTTCTGTGGATATCGGTAGTGGCATTCGCTGTGATGTTACCACTTGTCTTCCTTGGGCGACGCCATCTCGATTATTCCATAATGCTCCAATAAATCCACTCCGTGACGAAACAAGCGGTTTTCTTCTAACAGACATATCTTTCTTGTCATGGGAAGATATCTCTGCGTCACACACAGACACACACACACACATATATATATCTGTGTTATAAATATATTCATTCATTCACTCATATGTATATACATACGTACACGTGTGCGTAAGTTCAATTGTGTGTAAGTAAAGAGAGACAGGGAAGCTCCGTATTAGGCAATTGTGTTGTGAGTTTAGACAATTCCCAATTATTGTGAGTTTGCTTCAATGAAAATGAAAGCATCGTTCTTTGAAACAATATGAACGCTAATAATATATATATATTCACATATTAACACCCTAGAGATGGCCACAAGATTCAATATGTGCAGCATGAATGCAACGCACAGACTACGATATTGAAATTTGCAAAAATATGCTGCTAAACTCAATACAAATGACAAGAACATAAAAAGGGCAACCTGCGTAAAACTCTTTCCTCCGAAGCTAGTGGGCCAGAGAAGGGGAGCCTTGCAAAAAAAGAGATTAGATAAAAAAAATAAAAAATAAATAAATAGATAAAAACAACAGATACAAACTAATTTCTTTCCTTCACAGATTAACCAGACAACCATAGCAATGGGTGTCTTACATAAAGCACTGAGCTTCAAATCGGTGACTCAGTGCTCCCCAACTTCGAAATCATTAGCAAGGAAGTACGAATCTTGATTTTTTTTTAAACATCTTGAATACTGTATATTTTTGGCAACCAATCTAATAAATATTTGGCTTCTCACGTGTCCCTTTTATCTCATAATTCTTCATTACTATAGATATATAAACCTCACTAGTGTTTGTGTATATACACACACGATGGATACATACATTCACCTTTATTCCAAGTTACATATCATATAGAGATCAATACACGAGTTTCAATAGAAAAAATAAAAGTCAAAACAAATTTGTATAAATGCACAATGATAACGGAAAATATACGAACTGGTAACAATCGTACAGATCATTAACAAAAAAAAAGTATCTGAAAACCTGAAAATGTAACAGTATTTTATCAAAAGGAAAGAAAGGACAGCATAATAAACGTTGAGTGAAATCAGTGCACAGAGAACAAACACGAATCATAATGAAATTAACTGCAATAACAAATGTAAATACACTACCATAATGATGAATAAAAACGATTAAACAAACCGACGAAATTTCCTTATACAAAAGTTCAGCGTATCAATTTATAGAGAGAGGTGTATGTATATATATTTACACAGGCATATTAGTATATATAAACATATATACATATATAGAGAGAAAAAGAGAAAGACAAATAGACCGACGCCTCGCCTATATATACCAACGACCTTGTAAACAAAGTTGCAAACCTCGAGCTTTTCCCGATGAGGAATTCTATACCACTTTGCTTATCCGGCAAATGATGTCATTGACGTCGCCGCTTTATCGTCACGTAAGGATATGATAATCTTTATAGCAGCTGTCTTTAATAGTCGACTACTAAATGTTTCATTCAGTACTATGGTGGCTCAGTGAATGGTACTTTTACAAGTGGGAGTTTAAGTCTGGCGAACCACTGTACTAACTGGACAGGTAGATGTTGAGGCTTTCTTACCATTTTTCAGTATATTCGAAACATGAATGAATATAGAATTTCATGGATTTCAGTAGGTTCCATGATTTGCTTTGATTAAATATGATGGTTAATGAAAAGGACAAAAAGAAAATATAACAAAATCAGGCAGCATAGTCATAATTGACCAAAGCTGCTGTTATCAGTTAAAATTAATATATATCATCCATATAGATATCCACCATCTTTAGTCCTAATATAACGAACTCAGCAAAGGTAGCCTCATTTGCAGGTAGAAAGCAGAAAAGAGTGTGGTTGTAGTCGCAATTTCCATTACTTTCGTGTAGAAGACAAGTTTTGATAATAAAAAATAGAATACTTTATCAATTTTAGAAATACAAAACCTGCGCAGAAATAAGTATCGTGTTAGCTAATTAGAATAACAAAAAGACTTGACATGAAATGAAAAAAAAAGAGAAAATCGCAAATCGGAGTCCTACCGAGTCTAATAATAAGGTGCCTCCTTAAGAGAACTTGTGATCTCAGGAGGCTCAGCCATTCTATTTTTATTTTGTGTATGTCAAACTGTTTTTATGTATATTGGCTAAATAAACGTTATCAATCAATCAATCAACATGGGTTATTGTTTTTCGGGACGACGCACTATAGTATTCCACGAGTTGATTCAATCGCACAAAACTGGGGAATGGTGTTCATGGATTTCCCACTATTAAGCACCGAAAATTTGTCTAGAGAAAGCAGCCAACACTGTCCAAAAATGACGCAATATATATATATTTGTTATCATGTAGTTTGTTGGTCTTTTTCTATCATACAAATGATTACCAGCACTGCATGTAGTTTGTTGGTCTTTTTCTATCATACAAATGATTACCAGCACTGTATTTACATGATTATCAGTGGCTATCTGTTACGCTGACATCAAAGTCTATGTATATAGAGATACAGATATAGATACAGTTAGATATATCAATAACAGCAAATCAGCACACAAACACACAAATCCCACTTTTTCCGTTACCTAACATTGAAGACAAGCAAAAAACAAAGAAATCCTTCGTTTGGTCCTTGTCTGGCACCAACACGCCTATAAAGCAGCCATTGCTAGAATGTCACCTCAGTCGACTCCTGTTCTCGCTGCAGTCAACAAGCTCTCTTCCAAAATGGTAACACCTCAGTTGCTTGATATTTGCGTTCAGTCTTTGAATCTCTTTGGCACTTAGCAGTGTGATATTGTAGGTATGAATGATTATGTCTATATCTATGTATCTTAGGTATCTGTCCATCTATTTATTTATAGCTTTATCTGTATTCATCTATATATTCATCTCTACCTATCTCTGTCTATTTGCGTGTGTATGTGTGTGTGCGTGAGACAGCGAGTGTGAGAGAGGAAGATAGGAACATTTTGAAGACAGTTAAGCCGATGATAATAAATTAATATCAATGACGATGAAGATAGAAAAGTTATAATCGTATTGATGACTATGAAAGAATAGTAAACTCATAATGGTTAGTACTACCACGATTCATTTAATAATTTTAGTGCAAGTATAGGTATTGTATAACTCATTATAAGCTACGACTGTTATGAGTACTGTTATATTATTTATATTATATCATTTATATTATTATTTATATTATCATTATGATTATATCTTTCATCAAAAGTATCATGTGATTTTGTATACACACAGCCGTATATGAGCCATCCATATTCTTAGAATGTAATTATTCAAATGCAATTAAAGAAGTAAAATCAAATAAATAATGAAATAAAATAATGTCATATTGTGATGCAGGTTTCTCGCGTCGTGTTCGCCTGCTTGGTCGTAATTCTGCTGGCTGCCTGCGCCTTGGCCTTCCCTGACCCGAGCGGAGGATACGGAATCCGCACCTATGGATACGGACACGGCCACGGGCACATCGGCCACGGATACGGACATGGCTATGGCGGCCACCGTGTGGTCTTAACCCATGGCGGTTATGGCGGCGGATACGGATACAGGCCGGCGTACTGGTGAAAGGCCACATGGTACGGAATGCTGATTTCATTTATTCTAAACGTGTCTTGCATGGTGATGTCTAAATCATCAAAATATTGATTATTTCTCAATAGAAAAAAAAACATTGTTTTCCCAAACTGAATATAAAAAAGTCACTTATGTGCATTATATTCGTAAGACGTTATATCATAGTATTTTGATATTTATCCACGGTGTATTTTTTCCTCTTCACATTCAAACAGAGAGGAGTAAAATAAGGATAAGACCACTAAGAAAAACTTCCTAATACTTTTGTGGTCTTCCTTCTAGCTCCAGTTAGATGCTGTCCATGGACTCTGCCTCCAGTAACATGATAGGTAACGATATTTTAACAAGATAAGGAAACGAGAATCCAAATCAACAGCTTCTTTCTCTATTTTTTTTTTTTTTTTAAATCTTTTTTTTTTTTTTTTTTTTTTTTTTTTTTTTTTTTTTTTTTTTTTTTTTTTTTTTTTTTTTTTTTTTTTTTTTTTTTTTTTTTTTTTTTTTTTTTTTTTTTTTTTTTTTTTTTTTTTTTTTTTTTTTTTTTTTTTTTTTTTTTTTTTTTTTTTTTTTTTTTTTTTTTTTTTTTTTTTTTTTTTTTTTTTTTTTTTTTTTTTTTTTTTTTTTTTTTTTTTTTTTTTTTTTTTTTTTTTTTTTTTTTTTTTTTTTTTTTTTTTTTCTAACACGATAAGTAATGACAGAGTAGAAAATACCCCGGTTGCCAACTAGTCAAATAATAATATAAAAAGAGGCTCGAGCGCATGACAGCATAGCACCGGCAGTCATTCAGCATCTCTCACCCACAATGGTAAGAGGATGTATTTTGTCTTAGCACTGAGTATCCATTTATTTTCTAGCTTTTTTGAAATATGTAATTACATATATTTCAATAAGACGCGATTTATCACTGCGCAGTGTACATGACATGAGGAAAGTACATTCTTTATTTAAAGCTTAACAAAAGTAGATCAGTAACGAAGATAAAATGTGGAAATTAGCCTCCTAGTACATACGACTGAGTGAATTTGTGGTATTTCAGTAGGCTCTATTTTCTTTCGCTCAGCCCACTTAGTAACAGGTGGAAGAGACAGACACAGAAGAGAAGAGAACGAGAGAACAAGTACATCCTCCTCAGCTTACCCCACACTCCTCAGATCATCACTCCAACTCACCCACTTTTGTCCATCCGTCATAATAGATCCTGCAATTCCTCCTGCAGATTAACCGTGTCCTGCTGGTCGTGTTGGTGGTCGTAGTCCTGTCAGCTTCGACACTGGCCCTTCCTGAGGCAAGTCGTCGACACTTGTTCGGTCTTTACGGAGGTTACGGAGGATTGGGCTATGGAGGCTATGGAGGCTATGGAGGCTATGGAGGCTATGGAGGCTATGGAGGCTATGGAGGCTATGGAGGCTATGGTCGACATTTGTCATCAGTGGATTTGTTTTATATAAGAAAAGGTTATTTGTGGTGTGCCTGGATGAGTAGTATTGCTAACCGCTGAATGGTGGTTCTCCAAATCATTTCAAGCTATTGGGTTGCTTGAGTTATTTGTGTTAGGACATACATACAATGCATATACACAAACATGCGCACACGCACTCATATAGTAGACATGAAATTCTGTTGCGGATGCGTCTACCCTAGAAACTACTTGTTTTCCACTTTATTAAAAATACAGTAGGTAAATAATATGACTTCTAGTTTTGAATCACTAAAAGGATTTATTTTGTAGAATGCATATTTATCTTGATGTCTTTATGTTGTCATCTGATATCACAGTCTTAGTATATAGTAGTATCAAATGTTTATGTGCGGAGGAAAGGTCCAGACATGTGTTTACATTAGACTATTAGCAGGATAGGAAGTATATGACGCTTAAAAATGCAAGTTTAGATTATTGTTTAGTGCTCAAAAGTGTTGACATCACGTGAAGTCGTTAAAAATGAAAAATATTAAGTTAGAGATATAGATTTGGACTATTTTTGGTTTGATTTCAATCCGAACGAGTGGAGAATGAATTGTTTTGTGGATGTTGTTAGTGGCAGCCGCTGTGATGTTACCACTTGTTTTCCTTGGGTGACATCATCTCGTTTATCTCATCTTGTTCCAATAAATCCACTCCTTAACGAAACAGGCGGTTTTCTTCTAATAGCCATCATTGAAAAATGAGATCATATCTTTCTTGTCATGGGAAGACATCTCTACGTCACACACACACACAGACACATATATATATCTGTGTTATAAATATATTCATTCATTCATTCACTTATATGTATATACATATGTGTGCGTGTTCGTAAGTTTAATTGTGTGTGAGTAAAGAGAGATAGGCAAGCAATTGTATTGTGAGTTTTGGCAATTCCCATTTACTGTGAGTTTGTTTGCATAAACTATTTGTAAATTTATTTTCATTCTTTACCATGCTTTCTCGTTATTGTCTTTTAATGTGCATTGTAATTACCTCATCTTTAAGATTTTTTTAAGACAGCACCCCTCTTAAAGCATCGTTCTTTGTTCGTTGAATTTGAATCATATCCCTATGATGGTCACAAGATTCAGTGTGTGCAACATGAATGCAACGCACAGACTACGATACCGAAATTTGCAAAAATACGCTGCTAAACTCAATACAAATGACAAGAACATAAAAAAGGACAACTTGCGTAAAACTTTTTCCTCTGAAAATAGTGGGCCTGAGAAGGGAAGCCTTGCAAAACCTGTCATTGCATACGATTTGTGAATCAAGGTCACGGGGTAGTCATGCTTGCATCATGTAACCCTTTAGAGGATACACATTGCACACACAATGATACCCATATACAGTATATATACGCAATACATATAGATATAGATACATGTGTGTATATATACGTGTGTATTTCAGTCTATCTGTATGTGTATTTCAGTCTATCTGTATGTGTATTTCAACACATATATACATATAAATACACATGAATTTATTAATTTGCCTATATCGGGAGTAAGCCAACAAAGGAATGACAATCACTGCCACAATAATGGATGCATATCATTAATCCTTGTTAAAATTTTACCGTAATCGCTTCCATCAAGAACACATGATATCCATTCATTTTCTAACATATTGTTTCGAGGTAGGAATGAAGATATGTATCAGATCATGATAATGATTAATTACATATATTTCAATAAGACGCGATTTATCACTGTGCAGTGTACATGACATACGGAAAGTACATTCTTTATTTAAAGCTTAACAGAAGCAGATCAGAAACGACGATAAAATCTGGAAATTAGACTACGAGTACATACGACTGAGTGAATTTGTTGTATTTCAATAGGCTGTATTTTCTCTCGTCCAGCCCACTTAGTAACAGGTGGAAGAGACAGACACAGAAGAGAAGAGAACGAGAGAACAAGTACATCCTCCTCAGATTATCCCGCACTCTTCAAATCATCACTCCAACTCACCCACTTTTGTCCATCCGTCATAATAGATTCTGCAAATCCTTCTGCAGATTAACCGTGTCCTGCTGGTCGGGTTGGTGGTCGTAGTCCTGTCGGCTTCGACACTGGCCCTTCCTGAGGCAAGTCTTCGACACTTGGTCGGCCTGTACGGAGGTTACGGAGGATATGGCCTTGGAGGATTGGGCTACGGAGGCTATGGAGGCTATGGACACTTCCCATACAGTTACTACTACGGCTAGGTAAGCTGAAGAGAGAGTCACGTGTGAAGTTTAGAATATGTGGCTGTCTCAGTCTTGTGATTTGCTTCACTATTTTTCCTGTTTCCCCATATGTACATTGTGCATGAGCTTTTGTGTATCTTTGTATGAAAAGAGAGAAATGGAGAGGGGGTAGAGAGACAGAATTACAGAAAGAAAATAAGCACAGGAAAAAGGATATTAGAACAAGAAAAAGAACAAATCAGATAGCCAAAAGAACAGATACAAAATAATTTCTTTCCTTCGCAGATTAACCAAACAACCAGAGCAATGGGTGTCTTGCGAATTCAACCTCCATATAAAGCACTGAGCTTCAAATCGGTGACTCAATGCTCCCCAACTTCCAAATCATTAGCAAGGAAGTACGAATCTTGAAGATTTTTCTAAGCATCTTGAATACTGTAGATCTTTAGAAACCAATCTAATAAAAATGGCTTCACACGTGTCCCTTTTATCTCATAATTCTTCATTACTATGAATATATAACCTTACATGTTTATGTATATACACACACGATGGACACATACATTCACCTTTATTCCAAGTTGCATGATTATATAGGCATCAATACACGAATTTCAATAGAAAAAAGTCATAACAAATTTGTATAAATGCACAATGATAACTGAAAATATACGAACTGGTAACAATCGTACAGAACGTTGAGTGAAATCAATGCACAAAGAACAAACGCGTATCATAATGAATTAACTGCAATAAGAAATATAAATATATGATAATGATGAATAACAACGATTAAGCAAACCTACGAAATTTTCTTATACAAAAGTTCAGCGTATCAGTTTATATAGAGAGGTGTATGTATATATATTTACACTGCTATATTAGTATATATAAACATACATAAAAGACAAATAGACTATAGCCTATATACGTACTAATGGCCTTGTAAACAAAGATGCAAACCTCGAGCTTTTCCCGATGAGGAATTCTATACCACTTTAGATGGATATGATGATCTTTATATAAGTTATCTTTAATATCCGACTACTAAATGCTTCACTCAGTACTATGGTGGCTCAGTGAACGGTACTTTTACAAAATATATCAGTCTGGCGAACCACTGTACTAACTGAACAGGTCGAGGCTTTCTTAGTTACTGTTTTTCAGTATATTCGAAACATGAATGAATATAGGATGTCATAGATTTCAGTAGGTTCCATGATTTGTTTTGATTAAATATGATGGTTAATGAAAAGGAAGAAAAATAAAAATAAATAAAATCAGAAAATATAATCATCATGATTGAGCAAAGCTGCTGTTATCAGTTAAAATTAATATATATCATCCATATAGATATCCACCATCTTTAGTCCTAATATAACGAACTCAGCAAAGGTAGCCTCATTTGCAGGTAGAAAGCAGAAAAGAGTGTGGTTGTAGTCGCAACTTCCATTAATTTCGTGTAGAAGACAAATTTATGATAAATTAATAAATAACAAATAATAAAAAATGTAATACTTAACTATCAATTTTAGAAATACAAAACCTGCGTAAATATAAGTATCAACTGGCAGTTGATTAGAATAAAAAAAAGACTTGACATGAAATGAAAAAAAAGGCAAATCAGAGTGCCACAGGGTCCAACATGGGTTACCTGTTGTTGTTGTTTTTCGAGACGATGCACTATAGTATTCCACGAGTCGATTAAATCGCACAAAACTGGGGAATGGTGTTCATGGATTTCCCGCTATTAAGTACTGAATTTTTTTTCTAGATAAAGCAGCCACTACTGTCCAAAAATAATGCAATATATATATATATTTGTTATCATGTAGTTTGTTAGTCTTTTTATATCATACAAATGATTACCAGCAGAATAGATACAAACATAGATACATTTAGATATAACAGTAACAACAAACCAACACACAAATCCCACTTTTTCCGTTACCTAACATTGACGACGAGCAAAAACATAGAGAAATCCTTCGTTTGGTCCTTGTTTGGCACCGACGCGCCTATAAAGCAGCCATTGCTAGAATGTCACCTCAGTCGACTCCCGTTCTCGCTGCAGTCAACAACCTCTCTCCTCCAAAATGGTAACACTTCAATTGCTTGATATTAGCGTTCAGTCTTTGAATCTCTTTGGCACTTAGCAGTGTGATATTGCAGGTATGAATGATTATGTCTATATCTATGTATCTTAGGTATCTGTCCATCTATTTATAGCTTTATCTGTATTCATCTGTATATCTGTCTATTTGCGTGTGTATATGTGTGTGTGCGTGAGACAGCGAGTGTGAGAGAGGAACATTTTGAAGACAGTTAAGCCGATGATAATAAATTAACATCAATGACGATGACGATAGAAAATAGTTATAAATTTATGAAAAAATAGTTAACTCATAACGGTTACTACTACCACGATTCATTTAATGATTTCAGTGCAAGTATAAGTATTGTATAACTCATTATTAGCTACGAATGATATAAGTACTGTCGCATTTATATTATGATTCTATCAGAAAATATATACGATTTTGTATACACATTTACAGCCGTATATGAGCCATCCATATTTTCAAAATGTAATCATTCAAATTCTATTAAACAAGTAAAATCAAATAAATAATGAAATAAAATAATAATGTCCATCCTGCGATGCAGGTTTCTCGCGTCGTGTTCGCCTGCTTGGTCGTAATTCTGCTGGCTGCCTGCGCCTTGGCCTTCCCTGACCCGAGCGGAGGATACGGGATCCGCACCTATGGATACGGACACGGTCACGGACACATCGGCCATGGATATGGACATGGGTATGGCGGCCACCGTGTGGTTTTAACCCATGGCGGTTATGGCGGCGGATACGGATACAGGCCGGCGTACTGGTGAAAAGTGTGAGATGGTACGGAATGTTGATTTTATTTATTATGAATTATCCTTTTTATCATTGTCTTTTATCTAAACTTGCCTTGTATTATAAAGTCTAAATCGTCAAAAGATTTATTATGTCTCCATGATAAAAAAAAACAAAAAAAAACTTCATTATATTCCCAAATTGTATTTTATAAATCCAGTCCCCTATGTGTATTATATGGCATTGCATTTTGGCATTTGGTACATTTTTTTCTCTCTCTCTTCACATCCAACCATAGGAGGCGAGAAAGGACAAGATAACTTAGACAAAATCTTAATTCTTCCGTGGTGTTCCTTCCAGCTCCTGTTAGATGCTGCCCATGGATTCTGTCTTCAGTAACACGATGGGTAATGAGATTTTAGGGAAAAAATAAAACGAGGGTAAGACAGCCAGCTCTTCCTCTTGTTTATATTTTTTTCCGGTTTGTCTAGCCGGTCTCTGTCTTGATTACAATAAAGATTATTTTCTTTCAAACAATGCATTTGTTTTTATCCCTGACTAATAATTTTCCAGGTGGTAAACTGCGGCTAAACAGAAATATCATGTTTTTTTTGTGTAATTAAGAAAGCCTTATGCATTGTGCGTGTACAGAGTGAATGTGAATTTGTTATTTATTTTCCAAAGGGCTCCTAAGGTGACATCATCTCCTTTGTACCATCTTATCCCAACAAATCCACTCCGTGATGAAACAGGTGGTTTCCTTCAAACAGCCATCACTGAAGAATGAGATATCTTTCTTACCGTGAGAGGACATGTAGTGAACCCCAAGAAAACGCAATCATCAAGGGGGGTCCCAAGCAATTCGTGGCAGGGCTGGATGCCTGGACTCTTCCCTTGTCACCACCAGGGACCACCACCGTGGACAACCTACCCCCCCCTCCCCCCCGTGGACGTTACAACGACGATTTCTTTTCTTTTCATAATATCAATGTATATACTTTGTTTCGTTTTTACACCTTGGTATTAATGCCCTAAGTTGTACACGGAGAGATATTTTGATTATATAATATTATAAGCCTCCAGAACTTCCATCACATAACTGCTTGTATGGTATGGGAGATAAACAAGGGGGTCACGCTCGCACGGCCCGGGCTACAGGTACTCTCTCTCCCAATCCGCGGGTTAAGTGGCTAAAACCAGGGGTTATTCTAGCAGTAAGCCAGAGATCCTTCGCGGAAGACTGCTTGCTTAGGATAACCCTTGCTGCAGGCATAGAGAGAGGCCATAGTCGAGCCTTGTTCCTTGTACTTAAACTTATGATGTTTTACGGTGACGGACGGAGGATTGGAGGCACACCCTGTTTGTAAGATAAGTTATGTGTGCAACAGCAGTATATGCTGGCTTTGCTATATTTTTATCACTTATGTATATATATCCAAGCTCTTTTATTAAATATTAGTTTTATGTGTTTGTTTCTCTTTGTAGCAATGTTCTTTTCAGCGAGGAGTTCTGCCCAGGCTCCTTTTTAAATTTCCACACGGGGAGTGTTAAGTTTTCGCAGTACAGTTGACCCCGTTGTGTATATAACGTAACATTAGGGAACCAAAAGGGTTCGATATATATTGATGTACGCAAATTCCATGAACGATATCTATCCCAAACCCACCGTGCCCTTGGAGAGTGCTTACCGCTCGGCCCGCTCCGTCGGCATATCTCAGTAAAGGTAATTAACCAGTGAATAGTGTAAGTGTCAAAGTCTGACACTATAATCTAGCCTTATTGGTCACTACAACATCGCGTCACACAATATATATATGTATATATATATATGAGTTAATATATTCATATTCATTCATTCAATTAAAGGACTTTTTGCCTAACACTTTGGTACATTGTTTCTATCACGATATCGAAGTTTGTACTGACATAAGTTCTTTTTCCATATAAAAAGGTCAATATAAAACCATTAAAGTAGTTAATAATCGTACATAATTACAAACAAAACATTGCGGAAGCTTCAGATAAAAAAGTACATCACTACTCTGCAGCTTATATTGTTTATAAACACCACTCTCCGCTTTTCAAGGCTATGGAAAGTTTAGATATAATTCTCAGATTTCGTCAAAAAAAAAAAAAAAAATCTTTCTTTCTTGTCTTTTCTTTTTTAATACGTACGATCTTTATATGAAAAGAGGGAGTTGTCTTGATTAACAGAATGATATCGACAAATCAACATACACAGCATTTCTTTCGATATTTTCGAGTCTGTAAGGTTATATCACAGAATGATTTGAAAGATATTCACAATACCACGTCATATGACTCAAACACGTTGGTAGATCTTACCACATCGTTCCAGCGACCGTCATGTCTGACTTTTACCCATATAGAGTGAATATATATTTGATGTGCTGCTAAAAAGGCACAGAAACATTTTATGCACCTTGTCAAGAAAAAAGTTTTATCAAGATACTTACGATGCGATTCGTAATTAATGAAAATATAAATCCCTTTCTGAGACTACGTGAGATATATTTGAAAAATATCGCACTCTGATTGGCTGTCAGGAGTGTAGCAAACCGTGTTAAGGTGAAGGCATATACTTTGATAAAAAAGCGTTTCAACAGGTTTCGATAATGTAAAGAGCAATAATGTAAAAGTTTCAGAGTATATCAAATTATTAGGGGTTTCGGAAATGTTACGAAAAAGACCTTATATGTGTATTTATGCGTGTGTGCATGCGTGCGTGTGTTCAACTGCGTGTGTGTAAAGAGAGAGACAGGCAAGCTATTAAGCAGAGTGCAAACAATTGCAATGGGATTTTTGGCAATTCCTGCTTTCAGTTTGCCTGCATAATCTATCATAAATGCATTTTCACTCATTACCATGTTTTCTCGTCACTGTCCTTTCATATGTATATTTCGTTTGACTAGCAGCTGTTCTAAAATTCACTCGTAGGTTTTTAAGGAGAGCACCCCTCTTAAAGCATCGTTCTTTGTTCAATAAAAATGAAAGCATCGTTTTTTTGTTTTGTTTTTTGTTGTTGTTGTTGTTTTTCAATGAGTATTAAACAATATGAATGCATTTACGAAAAAAATAATACCCCCGAGGTCACAAGTTTCAAAATTTGCCATATAAACGGAACGAAACGACTTCAGTGATATCAATATTTGCAAAAGTTTATTGAAACATCTTCCAAGCGCATATCAACATTGACAGATGAATATCTATCTAAAAAGGGGGGGGGGGAACAACCTGCGTCTTTTTTTTTTTTATTATTATTTCTCCGAAACTAGTAATTAATGAAAATATAAATCCCTTTCTGAGACTACGTGAGATATATTTGAAAAATATCGCACTCTGATTGGCTGTCAGGAGTGTAGCAAACCGTGTTAAGGTGAAGGCATATACTTTGATAAAAAAGCGTTTCAACAGGTTTCGATAATGTAAAGAGCAATAATGTAAAAGTTTCAGAGTATATCAAATTATTAGGGGTTTCGGAAATGTTACGAAAAAGACCTTATATGTGTATTTATGCGTGTGTGCATGTGTGCGTGTGTTCAACTGCGTGTGTGTAAAAAGAGAGACAGGCAAGCTATTAAGCAGAGTGCAAACAATTGCAATGCGATTTTTGGCAATTCCTGCTTTCAGTTTACCAGCATAATCTATTATAAATGCATTTTCACTCATTACCATGTTTTCTCGTCACTGTCCTTTCATATGTATATTTCGTTTGACTAGCAGCTGTTCTAAAATTCACTCGTAGGTTTTTAAGGAGAGCACCCCTCTTAAAGCATCGTTCTTTGTTCAATAAAAATGAAAGCATCGTTTTTTTTTTGTTTTTTGTTTTTTTGTTTTTTTTGTTTTTTTTTGTTCAATGAGTATTAAACAATATGAATGCATTCACGAAAAAAATTATACCCCCGGTCACAAGTTTCAAAATTTGCCATATAAACGGAACGCAACGACTTCAGTGATATCAATATTTGCAAAAGTTTATTGAAACATCTTCCAAGCGCATATCAACATTGACAGATGAATATCTACCTAAAAAAAAGGGGGGGGGGGGAACAACCTGCGTCTTTTTTTTTTTTTATTATTATTTCTCCGAAACTAGTGTGCCAGAAACGGGAAGCCTCTCAGAACCTGTCATTATTACGATTTGTTAGTCAAGGTCAGGCATCATGTAACATTAGAGGATACACATACATAATTAAACTCATGCGCACACAATGATACACCATACAGTATGTAAATATATGTACATATATATACATATGTGCGTATATGAATATGTATGTATTAATTTGTCTATATATATATATGTATGTTTCTATACTTATATACATACAAACATATAAATTTATTCATTTGCATATATCAGTGCTAAGCCAACAAAGTAATGACAATTGCTGCCACAATAACAGATAGATATATATCGTTAATCCTTGCTGAAATTTTACCGTAATCACTTCCATCAAAGACACATGACATTTACGTATCCAATACACAGTGAGATTACGCACGAAATTTATCGGTAATGTCGCGTTTTCTCTCTCTCTCGCTTTCTCACTTTCTCTTTCCTAACACGATAAGTAATGACAGACCAAAAGAAAGTGCCTCAGTTGCCAACTAGTAATATAGCAGTATAAAAGGGGAGCAGTATGGTTTGCTATGTTAGTCATTCAGCATCTCTCACCCACAATGGTAAGTTGATGTATTTTGTCTTATCATTGAATATTCATAACTTATTTTTTTTCGAGGTATGAGATATCGAATGAAGATATGTATTAGATCTTAACAATGATTGCATTATATTTCAGTAAGACACGATTTATCACCGTGTTTTTTACATGACATGCGGCAAGTACATTCTTTATTTAAGGTTAATTGAAGCAAGTCAGTAACAACGATAAAATCGGGATATTAGCCCCATAGTATAAACAACTGAGTGAATTTGTGGTAGTTCAGTATGCTGTATTTTCTCTCGTTCAGCTCACTAAGTAACAGACAAATATAGGAGATAGCGAGAGCGAAAGAAACATCACTAAGGGTGTCTTCTGTGTGCACAATAAATGTTAATCCAGTATTAAGTTTTAAGCCAGATCTTTTGCGCATACGCAATGGCAGCGTCCAGGATTAAATTTAATTCACCCCTGGACTAGGCTTTACTTTTGAGTCCTGATCATGCGCAGAATGAGCTAGTTAATCCCACCAATCATGTATTGATGTCATGACGTCATCACCTCCATAAAAAAGATGGAGTTGAGTTAGGTATAAAGAATACCTAAACAAATTCTGACATTTTCATGTCAAAGATGTATGTGAAAATTTATCGATATATATTTCTATAACTTGTGAGTTATTCAAACTGCAGATATAACACTCAACATTGAAAAGAAAATCCCACTGATAATTCAAGAGCATACAGAAGATGCCTTAACATTTGAGAATACAAGTACATGCTCCTCAAATTTCCCCAATCCGACGAACACCTAATATGAAACGTAACTTAAG